AGCAGCAGGTTTGAAATAAACAAATGATCCGATTACACAAAATTAGCAAGCTTTAATTATTTTACTCAGATCAATCGAATTGCAACTATAGCAGCATTGTATAGATTTTAAGACTTTCGTGGTTATTCACTAAATGATTGTCACTAATATCAGGTTTCTTACCACTGTATGACTCTTTTTATTATTTTCCCGATATTTCGGAACGGTTGCACGCTCCATGGTCACGAGTTGACTAAAAAAAAAAAGAAGTCATACCGTGGATATGTATAGGAGTGGTGGAGTCATACCGTGAATATAAGGAACCTGATATTAGTGACAATCATATAGCAGCATTGGTTGTTATTGTTATACATAATGTAACAAAATATATATAAATAATATAATGTTATATATAATGTAATATACAATTAATTATACTGTGACCAGCATACCAGTTAAGGTTGGTCCCCCACCTAAGACGAACACCGGGGGAAGATAGACTTGAATGAGTTTAGCATTGCAGTCTCGCAGTCGATAAAAAAGGCAAACAAATTGATTCAAACTATTTTAAAGAGATGTCGCTACAATACCCCAAATCCAAAAGATGGAAAAATATTTGACAATCGTGAAATCTTAAGCACACGAGGTATACATTACCTTTATAACAATTACGATGACCGTTCCTATTACCCCATCTTGTAGGGGAAAAGAAACCATAGCACAATTTGCACATCCTATATATTGAATTCAATGATATTATACTATTAAATTATTTAGTAAACGTAATGATAGTTAAAACACGTAAAGCTGACAAACAAAGGCAAATTCAGTGAGCTTGAAAAAACTTGTAACACTTTTTTTGTTCTTCCTAAAGCTCAAAACATTTGACTGAAGGACAAATTTGATTTGAACTGTTCTTCTTAACCCACCTGACCATACATCGAAGAAGGAATTTCCCAGTGGTACTATGTGTAAAGAAGCAATGAAGCACTACCAATGACACTCAGAGTGCAGAATCCGTATGATACCGGGAATCGACACCGGGATCTCCTAATCTATCGCATACAATAGTAACCGCTGGGAAATGGAGATTATTTATTTTATGATATTAATTTTATATTTTGTGAAATTACTCCACTACTTTGTTATAATTATTAATACAAAGATCGAACGTAGGTAAAACAATATAACCTTGACCTGACAGGATTCAAACCTGCTCTGGTGGCCATGGTTTGGCAAAGACGCAGATTCGATTTTGTGTTACAAACAGTTGTTATAAATATTTTCCATATATTAAATACGTGCTGTTTCATACAATCGCATGTGAAATCAAATGATTGTGGTATTAAAAAAACCAGGGCATTAAACTTATCCACAAATCACCTAAAACAAGCCACAGTCTACTAACCAGAAGAAGAAATGTCGCCTGATCGTTTCCAAGTTCAATGACCTGACAATTTCATGGTTGCACACGCGTTGTGTGCAATTTAGCAAATTTGCGGAATGTGCTTAGTTCCAACTTGATTCGCCAGTTACGGGACATCCCAGTTGGCGGGTTGATGCTAACAAGGCATACGCTCTAGACTCTCGACTTGCTAATATGTCTATCTAGGTAAGAAGATAAAGTTTGTCTACAGAATGTGAAAGACGGACATAACTATGTACTATGTAGGAATAAGCCACAAACGTTGCATACATGTAGGTTGTTCCTATTTCGTAACTCTCTAGGACGCTACAGTACCAAAATCGTGACGAGTTAAAAGCGTACCACAGCAAAAATAAACACGCTGATTATAAATATTATTATGCGTCACACGACGCCGACAAGTGCAATTCGTAGAAATTAGTTTTATTACAATATAATTTATATTTCACTACAAATATGTTAGTTTATAATATAAAAATGGAATATGCCAAAATTGTTTTCACAATAAAAACTCCGACCTGTAAAGTCATTTATCCCCTAGTTAGCCACCCTTGGAGGTGGAATGTTTTCTTCAAATTTAAATGTGACCACTTCTGAAGTACCCTCTTTCCAGCAAAAAAGAATCATCAAAATCAATTCACAAATATATTTAATATTTTATAAAGTACAGTAGCAGATACAGTGACACAAATACCCTCATTTGCTAAGGCTTCTTAAGTAATTCCTACTTTCCCGTGATTAATATGAATTTTCTCGTAATTATTAAAAATAGAACGACAGAGGGTTCAGGTCAAAGCTTTGTTTGTTAGATAAGTCTAATCACATCGATTATAACAAATGAAATAATCAGTCAGAACCCACTCCGAAGCCGGCGGCGAGGAAGAAGGCGAAGACTATACGCTGCTCGCTTAATTCGGTAGAATTTTAATAGCAGACAAACCTTAGGTGGCAAACTAGGGGATAATTCCGGTTTCGCGCGCTTTCTGATTTCAATATAACTATTACTAATAACTGCCTCCGTAGCCGAACGGTTACCATACCGGACTACTACGCAGAGGTCTCAGATCCGATTCCCGGGCCGGGAGAAATATTTGTATGGCCTACATTTATTTATCTCGTGAGTCTTGGTGTAATTTGTGGTTGTCTATGTGTGTGTCCATGACACTCGCGACACAGGGTTTCCCTAGTGCGGGGCTACGTTAAGTGTGTGTGCGTTATTTATTTATTTATATTTATGTTTAAAAAAAACTTGGCAAATAGGTGTAATTCCACGTACTTTTGTGGTTGTTTTTTTGTTATACTCTGTACTGATTACAATAAGAAACTTGGCACAGCGTGATTCAATTTAAGTATTTTGTCAATAATGCACTCCAATTTAAAACTACTTCAGTTTTAGTATTTAGTTGAACATTTGCGAAGACAAAAAAGCACACAAACGATTTACCTCTTGAGTGTGGTCACGCTTCTCGCATCTATAAATTAACAAGTTAAAAATGCCGCCGGCACGCTTGACAATTATAACATTTGAAAATGTCAAAATGTGACTAAATAGAAATGATAAATTACCAAAAACAATGCGAGTGCAAAGATGTCATGTACCTTTTATGGCGCTCATTTAGTTTTAAGTGTACAAAGCTATTATTACATATCACACTGTTAATACAATGGTTAATTATATAAAAGTGTTTTTTTTTTCAGAGTCGTTAAAAAAACCTATTTACTCAATTCTCGTGAAAAATTTATGTATAGATTTGACGTTTATTACTGACATCTAAACAATTTCCTACTTGCCAAATATATTTAAAAATAAAAAGGAATTTTCGTATTTGGAGTAACGAATTTTTTGTCCAAAACTAGCTCACAATAAGGTTGTTGCATTTTTAGTTACAGTACCGGCACGCTATGATGGCCGTTTTGACAGATTACAATAGTTACGTCAACTCTCAATTTATTATATATTTTTAGATTTATAATAACTAGTATTACAAAGGGTAGGTGATTAAAAAGTTACTTAACATATCGTCATTTCGAAACTGCTTTTGAATTGAGCTTTAATGCGAATTTGCCAGAAGTAGAAATTGTGCTGGCCAGCGATCCCATAAATGACAATGGTGTTAGATTTCATTTTTTTAAATTACTAATTTCGCACAACAAATGCCGAGTTGTGTCGTAAAATTGGAATATATATTCAATAAATTTTACTGCACGTCACTATTGACAACAATGTATAGCAATTAGCTCCTTCAACGTAGTTATGAATTAATACGAAACTTGATGAAGCGACAAACGTCAAAACGGCCATCATAGCGTGCCGGTACTATAAGCAGAGATTGTTTCTTACAATATTCTAACGAGACGGTTTCATTGACGTGTAGAGAAAAGTTACAACACTGTTGAAATAGCAGTGCGACATGACGGACATAGTGTTAAACCAAAAGCCGAAATATGATCACGAGAAGCTGACGTGTAATGAGAGCTACGATTACCATCATATGAACTAATCAATGTAGATAGTGAAGATAAATACGGTTTGTAATTCTTAAACAAAACCAACGGTAAAACCAGACTAAAGAAACACGGCACTTTAAAAGACACAAGAGCGCGGGAAGAAGAGAATTTATTACAGGCCAACATTTGCACAGAGCGTTCACCCTCGACCACGCGCGTGACAAAACCATCCCGGCATGACATTACACTACAACATATTCATATAATACACATCTAACAGTTTAACATGGACGAGATAATAGGAAACTAACTCCTAACACCAGAGCATAAATATCAACTATTCACAAATTATGAAAACGGCATATATAAGAAGCATTCCATCTTCTCGTTCCACGATTTGAATCTTTTGATTATGCAAAAAAAGTAAATATCTCACGTTTTGGCAATGAGGATTACGGTTTTCCTATTTGTAGTTCAGCGCTCTTTACTATGGCGTCGCAAATATATGATTTTGATAGATGATATCTATTTCAGCTTGACATTTTATCCCTGATCATTATTTATTCTCTAATAATTCATTATTTACGTATTCAGTTGACTTCAAAAAAAGGATGTCTATTCGACTATATTTTCTTAACCGACTTCAAAATTCAATTCGACTGTGTGTGTTTTTTTTTGTACCTATGTTACGCAATAACTCTGGCATTTGTGAA